TAACCACTGTGCTATAGACCCACAGGTCGATATAACTATAAATTAAATATAACTTTATATTTAAAATATATAAATAAAAGCAACCTTAACAAGTTATAGAAATACTTGAAGTTTCAATAAAATATAAGAATATTTAAGTTCTAACAATAAGAAAAAATAAGTAAATAATTCTAAGTTTTAATAAATTAGCTACTGTATATATCTTTTTATAAACAATAACTTTAAAATATATTTCTACTTAAAATATTTTTATAAATATTAATAACAATATATAAATTTTAATAATCTTTTAAAAACTTAAAGATATTTATATATATATATATATATATATATATATATATATATATTTTATAGTAAAATAGGTATTAGATATTAATCATTTATTAATATATATATAATATTACAATTACATTAAATATCATCTATAATACTAAACTATAGTTAAATGATAACCTATTTTATTTTATTGTCTTAGTAATACTAATGATACTCTTGAAATGGGTTCATATTTTTGGGAGGATCTATCTAGGAGATGAAAATCCTATCACTAGTTTTAAATCATCTAATCTATTGATTCAATTTTTATGTGAGGGCAATAGATACTATTGACTATTTCTTAAGTTACTTATTATATTATACTTTTTTACTTATATGTTAAGTGACAAAAAGACTAATAATATAATATATATATTTTCTAGTAAATATTCCAATTTTGGTTCACTAATTAGTATTAACTATTAAATTTAGGAACTCTTGTGGCCAAGTGAGATATGACTTTTTAAAAATTATATAGGCCATGCTAAGCAAGTTCTCAAGTATCTTAATCTTCTAGTAAACACTTCAATTATAAAACCGATTGATATAGGCTATCAAATCTAAGAGTATAAATGCCAAGCAGGATACAACTTCTACATGTATAAACTATCTGGGATTAAGCCATATCATATAAGACATTAGTATCAGTTCAATGTTTTCTTTAAAGCATCCTTATTCAATAGCCAATAGTAAAGGAATTGACAGTTTGGAATTGATTAAAATAAAGTATAGTTCAATCTGTATATTCAAATATATAAATGATTTTATGACTTCTTTTTATAGATGACTATTGTAACACTATTCAGATAATTATTATACCACTATTCTTTAATAGAAAGATCACAATCTTAATGCTTATTGAATTAGCATATGAAATAATTTCTTATAAGAAATAATATATAACTAGTTATGGTATTAGATACCATATTAATTTTATTCAACTATCTTTATATAGAATTAAACTAATATTTTGTGATCTGATCTATAGAGCACTAACCACTGTGATATGGATTCACGGGTCGAGATATCTTTATATATCTTTATTTAATATAAAAAAAATAATTATAATAAATATTTCAATAAATTATATAATTAAAATAATATATTATATTAATTAAAATAGTGTTATTTAATATACTGCTATTTATTAAACATTCAAATATAAAATATTTAGCACATTGTTACTTAACAATGATTTAATATATGTTAAATAATAAAATATTATATTATTTTTATTTAATTTATTAATACTTATCAAATATTTAACATATTAATAATTATTAATTAATTATAATAATTAAAAAAAATTAAATTAGATACAAATTATTAGATCTGTGGATCCATAGCACAGTGGTTAGTGCTCCACAGGTCAGATCACAAGATACTGGTTCAACCCCAGGTGAAGGTGGTTGAATAAACTTAATATGGTATCTGGCACCATAATCAATTATATGCTGTTTCTTATGAGAAGCCGTTTCATATACCAATTTGGCAGGTATTAAGATTGTGATCTTCCCGTTAAGGCGTAGTGGTGTGATGATCGTCCAGATGGTATTACAATGATTGTTTATGAAAGGAGCCATAGAATCACCTATACATTTGAATATATAGACTGGACTATACTCCATTTTAACCAATCCCAAGCCGCCAATCCCTTTACTGCCAACTGTCGAATAAGGAAGCTTTGAAGAAGATCACTATATCATCACCACTCTTGTAAGGCATGCCGATCATCGGCTCTGTGAGAAGTTGTGCCTTGCTTGGCATTTATGCCTCTAGATTTGGCAGCTTAAATCAACCGGATTTGTATGGAGTGTCTACTAGAAGATTAACGTAGTCTTAATAAAGGGTAATGGAAAATAAAAAATACCTGAAAGAGACGATCTGTTAAGGAGTCATATCCCACTTGGCCATAAGAGCTCCTGAATTTGGTAGCTAAAAGCCAACCAGTAGTCAAAACTGAAGCAATTCACTAGGGAACACACCTGGTGAGGGTCCTTGTCAAAGTATAAGCTATATGAATGAAAAGGTATGATATAATAAGTAATCTTAGAAAATAGTTAGCAGTATCCACTGCCCTAATACAAAATTGGACTGATAGATTGGATAGTTTAAAACTAGTGATAGGATTTCTATCCCCTAGATAGGTCCCCCCCCAAAAATATATGAATCCACTTCATAAGTGGCATTAGTATTGCTGGGGCAATAAAAATAGATAGGCTAGCATTTAACTGTTGTAATACAATAGAGGATGTTTGATGTATATGTGTATAAATTGATAATTATTCAATAAAAACCAGTGCATCTAATACTATTCTACTATAAAAAAAAAAAAAAAAAACAAATTGTTTTATATCTAATTTTAATTGAATTTTTAATATTTTTAAATATAGTATTATACTTATAATTTAGTAAAATTATAATTAAATATTTATAAGAATTATATTGATTTGAAATTTTATATTTAAATAAAATAAATTAATCAAAAAATATAATAAATAAAAATTATACTTTCATATTTAATTGGATAAAATTTAGTATTTCATAATTCAATATTTATTTATTTTTCAAGTCAAAATAAAATTTTAAATCTGCTAAATTAACTAGTTTAAATTATTAAATAAAAGCCAGTTTATACTGTAATATATAACATTATTTGAAAATTTAACTAAATATATAAAAAAAATTTCTTTCAATTTTTTGAAAAACTTCTTTTTTAGGAAATTTTAGCAAGACAAGTAAAGATGGAGGACTTGTTAAATTATCTTTCTTTTAAAGAAAATTTTTTTCTTCTTTTATTACTATTAAGAATAAAAACTTTTTTTTAAAGCAGGTTTGTTAGTTAAAAGATTGATATTTTTTTTCTTTAATAAGAAAAGTTACCTTTGCCAATATCAATATAACATCTCTCCTATATTTCAAATCCTATTTTATATAAGTCAACTTTAAGAGTTTGGTTGAAAAGATTCAAGTTATATAAGGATAAAACTTTTGGTTAGATTCTTCAAGATTTAGGATATCTTGTTAATAATAAATATATAAAAAAAAGCCTTTGGTTTAATATCTTTTTTGCTTATATATATAAATATAAAATTTTTTTATCAAAAAACTGAAATTAGTTTATTTCTATTAAATGATTAATAATATTTTTTATTCAATTATATTATATTGAAATCATATCATTTGATAGTATAACAATAATATTAACAATATTAATAACAACTAAAGATGGATCTTTAAATTAAAGGCAAAAATATAATTTAAATGTTTCTTACTATTAAAAAGTTTTTTTTTTAAATATAAGATTAAAAAAAAACTATCTATAAAGATTTTTTACAATTTAGGTCACTTGATTCAAATGTTTTTTGAATTATATTTCTATTAAAATAATAAATAAATAATTATATCCCTTCAAAAGAAACATAATTGATCTGTAAAATTTTATATGCTAAATAATTTAGAAATCTATCTTTAATAATAACAACTTATCATATATTAATACTAAATAAACAATTTTAAAAAGATTAATAATGTAAACATTAATATGTAATACTATTATGGCTATTAAATGGCTTACTAAATATATAAAAATTGTATTTTACTTGATAATTTTGTTTTTAGATTTGACAACTTAAGCCAATTAAATCCTTTGGAACATCTACTAAGAGATTTTGAAGTCATGTTTCACTTGGCCTTAAAACCCTTAGATTTGGTAGTTTGTATCAATCAAAAATTATAGTTTTAGAGCATTTACTAGAAAATACATATCTATATTTAATTTCTTTTGAATCCACAGTTGCATAAGCCAAAGTTGTGATGTAAGAAATTATATATTAAGTATTAATATATAGTTTATTTTTTTTGATTTGTTTCACTACTATAAATAGCATGGTCTGTCATACTACTATCTAAATAAATATTAGTTTTAAAATTTCTTTTCTAATATAGTTTAGATAGTTATTTTAATAAACTAACATTTAATTCATGTAAATTGAGAGATATAGGTTCTTGTTTGAACATATAATTATATATATACAATAATAAAAAAACTGATGTTTATCAAAAAAAAAAGGACCAATTCAACCTATATATAAAGAAAATTTTTATCAAAAGTTGAAACCAGGTCTTCTAAGATATCTATTCAATTGAACTATAAACTTATATATAAAATTTATTTATAAAATTTAAATTTTTAAAATAATTAATAAATAGACTTTTAATTAGTATATAATAAAAATTACAAATAACTATTAACATATTTAATAGATCAAACTGTTTTCTCAATATTTTATAATTATAATGTTACTAGTATCATATATTGTATGTCTTTTTCTTTATATACGCGTGGTAAGACGGAATATTGATGTTACTATCGGTAATCATAAATTTACCTAAATATATTAAGTCATCAATTGCAGACATTTCGTTTTCTGAAAAAATAAGTTCGGTTAAAACTATTTTTATTGATTAATAATTTAAATCGAAAATAAAAGAATGTCCCGTAACTTCAATAGTTACAAAATAAATCATACTTCTACAAATAACTTAATTTTCGAACTCGTGCTTGCAATCTAATATACATTCGTTGCCATAAATTAATAGATTTCCATACAGAAAGCATGAGCAAAGTATTCTTATTGTGACGTGAACAAAACTTCATCCCTAAAAAATATTTCGCTGAGGTCCTATTCTCTGTGTTCTCTTGAAGCCAAATACCTTCTTCTAAAGATGGCAACAAAATCATTGGTAACTCGTCGCAATTTTGTCCAATCTTGATTCTGGATCGCTCTAAATTTAGATCAGACAGAAATTAATGACGTAATTTATCCTCAAAACCACAGTAATATATAAAACAACATACAGATTATAATCTCTTATAAAAGAGCCTTTAATGTCCGAGGTCAAATTATCATCTTGAAGACGTTGAAATACTTCGGATATCCATTGCTGACTATCTTGAGGAAACAATTTTGCCAATGATGCCACTATATCATCGATATAATTTTGTTGAATATCTCTAGAGAAGGTGTACATTAAACCTCTGAATATGCTGTCAATTAAAGCAGAACCGTGCTGACACACTATGGTTTCAAGTGTTAAAAGGCCAACTGAGTGTGCAGCGAGTGATGTCTGTGCATGAGAAATACTTGCAGAGGTAGATTGTACATGTGATCGCTTTTCCTTCACAACAAAAAGGAGCAATTTACTGAAAAACAAAATAACAGCATGTAGAGCATCTTGTTGCTCAATCGCTAGACATGTCAGACCAGCCTGAAGGATTGATGGAAAAAGGGCCGAGTGCGATAAAGTTAAAGGTGCACATTCAAGAAATTCAATGTTGACACGAAAATAGTCCTCAACAACTGTAAATCGGAAATAACATTAAATAAGATAAAAAGAAATAATAGCGAAAGAAAGTTTACTTAAAAATGTTTACCGTCGGGAATGTCATCAGGCTTTTTTTCGGAGAGAATTCTAAACATTGTAACACTAAGCCTTTCAACGAATCTCAGCAAAGTTAATGTGGCTTCTGTTCCTTCGCCAGAAGAATGGATCCTCACGCATTTTCCCGCAACCCATAAATAACAGCTCAAGCCCGTTTGATCAAAAGCTGCAATGAGACGATCCATAAGTTCCGGAAGCAATTGCTGAAAATCGTTTGGGTAGTGTACAACACAACATTTGAAACATTTGCAAAGACTCTCCGATAACTGAGGATCGACACCAAAATTACGAAAGAGGACATCAAAGACGGGCCATAATTCTTGTATAATGGAAATACAAGGATGTGTCTGACCAGACGTATTATTTACTGTTTCATTTCTCTGACGCTCTGCGATGACGCGGAGAACCATAGAAAATTGTTCCAGTTTGTCTTCAAATTGAAAATACCAATTAATTATCTTATATTGATTGTAAAAAAAGAATCAGATCAGGTTAAATCACTAAAACTATATACCACAAGCATCTTTGACATCTTTTTCTGTTGTAGATACACCTTTATTTACAAATTCATGCAATCCCTGTGCGATTGGTAAGAAAAACATCTGCAAAGCCTTCAGCAATTCTGATGGTGGTACGGATGCGATAACATGGGTAACCGCTTCAGTAACTTCAAGTAGATCTACACCAGAAAGTGTTTGCGAGACATTAAGATAGAAATGATGTAGTTGTGGCAGGTATTCAACCAATAGCTATATAATTCCGAATGTTGAGTTAAAATTTCAATAACAAGACTTGTCACAAACTATGATTTAATTTCCTATTACCTCGCTGCAGTCCTTGCATAAATACTTTAATGCCAATGCAGCAGCAGCAGAAACCTCTTCATTATCAAAACCGGTGGAAATGAAAGTCAACTGATATGGGATAAATTGGGAATGTTTCCTAGTCCAAAAAGAATATCTCGAAATGACTAAAGTAGCAGAATATCGAATTTTGGGGTGATCAGGTAGTTGTTGCAAAAGCTGCATGATTTCAGGCAAAACAATGTTCTCGTCATCCGGTATCTCAGACCCCATTGCTCTCAAGGAGAACAGTGGTGCTTCAATTTCTTGCCACTCTAATGTGCTTCCATTTGCTGTATTCATTAGTAAACCTGCCAAGATCGAGTAAGGTTTTGATAAACATTGTTGCGAGCCAGCAATAAGACAACAATCCTTAAGAACATCACCCATTACATGACGAAATTCGCGAAATTCATCACGTTTTTCCGCCGACCAATTTGATAAATCTTTGGGATAATGCAAATGTTTAATCATGACGTCAACTAAATCAGAAAATATATGTTTAAACTTCTCCTTGATTTCCGCGTGACGTGGCTCGAACAATGTGTCACCCAAGCGATGCCAAAAGCCAAATGTAATTCTAACAATTTCAGTATCATGATAAGCTGTACACTCGGCTATGCTTTCCACTATACTTTGAAAAGCTTCAGCATGTTGAACAATAAGTTCTAAATATGATTCTCCAGCTTGGGTGAAGATGCGGCAATAGCCCCGCACTTTTTCTTCGTCGTCATTTTCTATCGCATTCCTCAGTGACTCTCTCAAAGGAAGCAAACGTGGGTATATCTGTTCAATTACCGGCATGGAATCAGGGATCTCCCGTGTTTCATTAATAATTCTACAAACAACGTCGATTGCGATATCATACAATTCATTTGATTGTAAAGCATCAAACGATAGTCCCAAAAATGGATTATTTTCCAAACTACTAATTGCGATATCACCAGAATAAAGCCAACTTTCAAAACATTCAAACACCCTTATTTGATAGTCAGTATTATTCCCTATATATGGATCAATAGTTTAATCTGAAAATTTGACCACATACAACAAACTAATACTGGTTAAAACATTGTAGAAGTGATTACCTGAATTCTGTAGAAAAATCAGAAGCATCTGCGATACTTCGTTAGCATTATTCGTCAACAATTCCTTGGATCTTGATCGATAATCCTCATCCTGTGTAATGCAGGTAACTGTTATTGTTTATGCGTGAACCGGGCTTAAGGACAAGTAAACACTAACCGATATAGGTATGCGACCATTTTTATTAATCTCTTCCGGTAGAATTTTAAGGAACTCCAGTAGACACTTTATAGTGTCCGGGTTTTTACCATACAGTTCCGTAAACTGTGGGAGTACGTCCTTCCATTCAGGCATCTGGAGCGCCAATGCTGCAAGAGATAAACATATTTGGGTAATGATGTTACGAGGACCATTACGGTATTGATAAAGAATCTCTAAAAGTGAATCGCGAAGGGAAATGCGAGCTGCACCATCGAGCTGATGTAAATCGAGTGTTATCTAATGTCATTGATGCAGTATCAGTCGGAATTCATAATTATAATGTTGATAAGGACCATTTTTCCGAAAGATGGAAATTTTTACCGGTCGAGACCGATAGTTTCGCGTCAATTCTAAAGGTTATTACAATAAGCATGGAATTCCATACCTTTTGCCGAAATGTGCGCGCCGCAAAGTGTTGTGCAGTTTCGGGAGTTGTTTGAGGGGACCTTAACATTTGATTTGATATTGCCCATGCTTCCGGCTGTAGTAGACGACATTATAAAAGAAAACGGTTTGTGGAAGGTCTTTATAATGCTTGTGACGAATTCGAAAATTGTTGTTGTTATTAGTTTCGATCAGCGATCTCCAATAAATTACCGTCTTCTGAAAAGCTTGTAACCAAATGTCAGCCTGTTCTCTTCTTGCTTTATCACGGGAGTTATATAAAGCATTCAATTCCGTCAGAAAGGTTTCCGTTGTACTAGTTGTCATTATTCACAGTTCTGTGAAGCGTTAATAATGTACGCGAAAAAAATAGTAATAATATAAGTCTGCAGAATTAATGAAAAAACAAAGGAAATTTTTTAATCTCTTACCAGAAAATTATTTATATCACTATGCTTAGTATATACGTCATATTACAAAATTTCCACTTTCCTCACTGATCATACACAAACTTACGCTCTCGTGAAACTTCAAATATGTAACTGTGTCACTCACTTGTTGCTGCGGAAAATTTGCTATATAAGCACGCGATGACTCATTTACGTAGTTTATTAGATAATACGATTAAATCACCCAATTACTCAAATACAGTCAAATACAGTCAAATACAGTAGACAACTTTTCAAATGGCTCTCAAACGAATTCAAAAGGTATTCCTTCGGCATTCTTTACTGCGAACTTTTACCATGATTTTAACCTACAAACTTTATACGTATTGTAGGAACTTGGTGAATTGAATAGAAATCCACCGACAGGTATTAGCGCTGGTCCAAGTGATGAGAAAGACTTATTCGAATGGACAGGTACAATGTCAAATCTAAGGCTTGATAATTGTTCAGTTCATGTTACCTAACCTTATTAAATATCTTTTGAATTTAGGGACAATCTTAGGGCCTGTAAGTTTTATTCACTGGTTCTATAATGTCATAAATTTTAAATTCCATTAATCACTCCTTTGTTATTTGTAGCCAAAGAGTCCTTATAAAGGAGGAATTTTTCGGCTCAAGATCGAATTTTCCCAGGATTATCCATTTAAACCTCCATCAGTAAGTATATTTAGGTTCGATTTTTATAAACCAAAGTATATTATTAATCTCAATATTCCTTTGATACTTAAGGTCAAATTTATTACCAGAATATACCATCCAAACATTGACGATGACGGATCCATCTGTGTCAACTTGTTGAAAACTGATGTATGGAAGCCTGCTACCAAGATTTCTCAAGGTAGACATTTGCCATCCAAAAAATTCTTTGTTTCTACATTTGATTAAGATTAACGTGCATTTATTCTATTTTAAGTTCTCGAGGCAATCTCGAATCTTCTCGAAAATCCAAACCCTGATGACGCGCTCGTAGCTTCTGTGGCCGAAGTTTATAATACCGACAGACAAAAATTTATCAAGACAGCTAAAGATTTTGTGAAAAAGGTTTGTTATACATTGAATCATGATAATATTGAATTTTATATATATACATTTTTATGTTGATTAACGATTATTCTTTTTACTCTTCTGCATTAAGTATGCATCAACATGATCTCCAGTCTTGTCAAATTTATATTTTCATTAAAACCTCTTATCTCTAGAATGGTAAAACTGTAGATGCAATTTTATAAAAATATGATTCATGTGTTAGCTTAAACAAAATCTCTATAATTGTTTATTTGACATTTATTTCACTTTGTTCACTGCAGGTACTGCATAAATATCTTTATTAAATATTTTTTTGATTCAATATTAAAAAATAGAAACAATTGTTTACAAACTAGAAAAGTTAAACCTTTAATATTGAATTTCAAGTATTAATAGTAGATGTTTAGTCTATTTGACTTTTTTTTATAAATTTGAAAATAGATTGTAATAAAATATTAAAGTTAGTAATAATTATTTTTAATTTTAATTCTACTTTATAATTTATTGGAATTAAATTGTTAAAAAAAAAATAAATAAAAGTTTTTTTAGTTTAACTAGATTAAATATTATATTGTTTTATGTTTTAATAAATTTTAAATCTTAAGTTAAATTAAAATTCAGATTGTTTTTTATTTTATATAATGTATTCAATTATAATAATTAATAAAAATTTTATTAAATATAAATTCATTTTTTTAAATAAAACTTAAAAATAAATAAATAAATTTTTATAAATAAATCTTTTCTGAAATCAAGTATAAATATTATTCAAAAAGAATATATATTAAAAAAATAATTTAAAAATATATTTAATTTTTAAATTTTTAAGTAATTTATATTTATTATATTATTACAATATTATTATTTTTTTTGAAAGGGATTTTTTCCTATAGATAAATATCAATTTTTTAATTGATTTGTATATAACAAGATATATATTGTAAAAGAAACATATCTCTTATATATTTTGTTAAATTAAATATTAACTTGTCTATATTACAATATCTAGAGTTTTAAACTAAGTATTGAAATAGTATTGAAATGGTACTACTATAATTTAATATTAACTTATAATAAATTTAATATTAACTTGATATTAAAATAGTATTATTAAAAATTCTAACAATATTTAATTAATATTGAAAACAAGTTCAAAAGCAATATTAATATATTAGATAAAGCTGAACAATAACTATATTTATCAATTAGAAAATTTTATAAAATTTTTTGATTTTTTGAATATAAAATAATTAAAAGAAAAAAAAAATAAATATTATTAAAACTAAATAAACTATAAAATTTATAAATAAAAAACTAATTATTTTTTTAAGAAAATCTTTAAACAGACTTGTTTTGTTTATTTTTTCAATTCTTTAATTATTATAAATAATAAAATATATGTTATATTGTTTTTTTTTTTTTTTTTTTTTTTTTTTTTTTTTTTTTAAGATTAAATAACATTAAATGCAAATTCTTTATTAATATTTTAACTTTATTTATTACATCAAACTATGGTTCTAAAAATTGTAATTGAACAGAATCACAGAGAATCATATGAGGTTCAAAACACTATTAAAAATGATAGTGGAATATATACCATCTATTAAATTTAATATAAACTTGAAAATTGAATACAGAATTGAAAAGAATTATTAGAATCCTTATATCAAACATTCTTTATAATACATGATGACAATTAAATGTAACTTATCAATCTTGATTATATAATATTTAAAATTTTATTATTTTATAACTTTTTTTTATAATACTAAAAAGCTATAGGAGGTAGAAATCCTACTACTAGTTTTAAACTATCTAACTTATAGGACTTATGTTTTTACTTATTTTTATGAAAACATATGCTATTAATTACTTATATAAGTAACTTCTCTTGTCACTCTATTACTTCTTTCTAATATAACAATAGAACTCTCAAGGTTGATATATATTTTTTAGTAAATATTTTGGTTTTAATTACTGATTAAATACTATTAAATCTAAAGACCATATAACCAAATAGTATATAACTCCTAAAGGATATCAACTCTTAACCTTCTAATAGATACTCTAGTTCAAGACCAGTTGGCTTAAGCTATCAAATCTAGAGATATAAATATCAAACAGAGTACAACTCCTATATATTCAGGCTCCATTGAGATTAAACTTTAATATAGAAGAGATGACAATAATGTAGATCTTCAAAACCTTTTTACTGAATGATTAATAGTGACATAAGTAATTGGGATTAAATTAGGATGAAGTATAATATAATCCAGTCTATATATTCAAATACAAAAGAAAATTTTGATTAAGGAAGTTGAACATATACTTTTTAACTTATTATATTATCCAATTATTATAAGTATACTTTTAACTATTATTGTAATACTACCCAGATAATTGTTGTGTTACAATATCTTTTCTGAAAATTATAATCTCAATACTTGCTAAATTAACATATGAAATAACTTCATATGAAAAATAGTATATAACAGATTATAATGCCAGATATTATATAAGTTCTATTTAATTATCTTTATCTAAGATTGAATTAATATTTTGTAATATAACCTGTGAAATACTAATTACTATATTATAGTCTATACATGTTGCTAAAATTCATAGATCCTTGACGCAATTGACGCAATTATTTGATGCAATTAATTGAGTCACTATTAAAACA